GATCATGTTAGGCTACAAAACAAATTCATGAAATTTCAAGTTATGTCTACACACATTTTTTCCAAGCACAATGATATGAAATGAGAAATTAATAATTACCTGAAGAAAACTGGAAAATTCATAATTATGTGGAGATTAAATTAAGGAGTCAAAACATCAAAAGAGAATTTAATGTCTTGAGAAATTAAAATGGAAATAAAACATCAAAACTTATGGAATGCTTTGGTAAAAGCAGTTCTAAGAGGGAAATGAAGTTTATAATGATAAATGCCTACATCAAGAAACAAGAAAAATAAACAACATAACCTTAAATCTCAAGGAAAAAGAAGAACAAACAACCAAAGTCAGTATGAGGAAGGAAATAACAAAGATCAGAGGGGAAAAAAAGGAAATGGAGACTATAAAGACAACAGAAAGTATCAATGAAACTAAGAGCTGATTTTTTGCAAAGATAAAACTGACAGACTTTTGCTAGAATCATCAAAATCAGAATAAAAGAGAAAACATTACAACTGATACCACAGAAATACAAAGAATTATAAGACTACTATGAACAACTACAGACCAACAAATTTGACAACCTAAAACAAATGGATAAATTCCTAGAAACATACAACCTATCAAGACTAAATCATGAAGAAATAGAAAATCCAAACAGACCTACTACTAGTAAGGAGAATCAGTAATAAAAAAAAACTCCCTGTAAACAAAAGTCCAACACTAGATGGAATCATTGGTGAATTCCACCCTACATTCAAAGAAAAATTAATAACCAATCCTCAAACTATTCCAAATAAAAAGAAGAGGGAATGCTTCCAAACTCATTTTATGAGGCCCCAGCATCACCCCAATACCACAATCAGAGAAGAAAGCCATAAGAAAATTACAGGACAATACCTGTGACAAATATAGATGCAAAAAACTCAACAAAATATTAACAAACATAATTCAACAATACATTAAAAGGATCATACATTATGATCAAGTAGGATTTATTCCAGGGATGCAAGGATGTTCCAACATCTGCAAATAAATCAACATCATACAACATATTAACAAAATGAAAGCTAAAGATCATATGATCATTTCAATGGATGCAGAAAAAGCATCTGACAAAACTCAACATCTATTTACGATAAAAACTCTTACACCGAGGGTATAGAGGGAATACACTTCAACATAATATGGTTGTATATGGCAAGCAAACAGCCAACATCATAGTAGTATAAAGGTGAAAGCTTTTTCTAAGATAAAGAACAAGATAAGGATGTCTACTCTCCCCACTGTTATTCAGCATAGTACTGGAAATCCTAGCCACAGCAATTAGGCAAGAAAAAGAAATAAAAGGCATCCAAACTAAAAAGGAAGAAGTAAAACTGTCATTATTTACAGATGACATACATTAAAAAACCCTAAAGACTCTACCAAAATCTTTCAGAAAATAAAACCAATTCTGTAAAGGTGCAGGACATAAATTCAATATACAAAAATCTGCTGCATTTCTAAACACTAATACTATTAGAAAGAGAAATTAAGAAAACAATCCTATTTGGAATTCCATCAAAAATAAAATACCTAGGAATAAATTCTACCAAGGAGGTGAAAGACATGTACACTGAAAACTTTAAGATGTTACTAAAAGAAACTGAAGAATACACAAAAAGAAATGCTCCATGCTCACTGGCTGAAAGAATTAATAATATTCTTAAAATCTGTACTGTCCAAAGCAATCTACAGATTAAGTGCAATCCCTATCAAAATTCCAGTGGCATTTTTCATAGAAGTAAACAATGCCAAAATTTCTATGGAACTACAAAAGACCCCAAATAGCCAAAGCAAGCTTGAAAAAAATAAGGTGGACTCATCAGACTACCTGATTTCAAATTATATTACAAAGCTATAGTCATCAAAACAGTAAGATACTGACATAAAAACAAAGATACAGATCAAAAGAACAGAACTGGGTGCCCAGTAATAAACCCATGCTTATACAGTCAATTTACTTACAACAAAGGAGCCAAGAGTACATAATAGGGAAAGGACAGTCTCTTCAGTGAACAGTCAAATGCAAAATAATGAAATTGATCACTATCTTATACTATACACAAAAATTAACTCAAAATGAATTAAAAACTTAAATGTATAACCTAAAACTGTAAAACTCCTAAAATTAAAAACAGGCAATAAACTCCTTGATACTGGTCTTAGCGATGATTTTTTGAATCTGAGTCCAAAAGTAAAAATAAACAAGACTATATCAAACTAAAAACATTCTTCATAGCAAAGTGCAATGGAAACCAAGAACAAAGTGAAAAGGCAATCCTACTGAATGGGAGAAAATACTTGCAAATAATGTATCTGATAAGAGGTTAATATCCAAAATATAAAGAACTCATACAATGCAACAGCAAAAGCAAAGAAATAATCTGATTTAAAAAAATGGGCAGAAGATCTGAACAATTTTCCAAAGACCTACAGATGGCCAACAGCTACATGAAAAAATACTTAACATCACTAACCATCAGGAAATAAAAACCACAATGAATGAGGCCTTACACAAATCAGAATGGGGAGTACCAAAAAGACAAGAAATGAACAGAGTTGGCAAGGATGTAGAGAGAAGGGAACTTTCATGCACTGTTGGTGGGAATTATAAATTGGTAAATTTCTACTATGGAAAACAATACAAAGGTTTCTCAAAAAATTAAAAGTAGAACTACCACATGATCCAGCAATTCCACTTCAGGGTATTTATCTGAAAGAAAACAAAAAACACTAGCTCAAAAAGATACATGAACTCCCACGTTCACTACAGCATTATTTACAATAGTGAAGACAAAGCAACATTAAGTGTTGGACAAATATAAAGAAAATGCAGTGTACACACACACACACACACACACACACACACACACAGAGAGGAATATTATCCAGCCATAAAAACAAATGAAATCTTGCCATTTGTGACATGGGAGGACCCTGAGAGTATTATGCTAAGTGAAAAAAGAGAAAGACAAATACCATAATGATCTTACTTCTATGTGGAATCTTAAAAAAGATAACCAAAAATAACCTCAGAAGCTCACAGATACAGATACTGTTGCCAAGAGAGGCAGTGGGTGGAAAAGGAAGGGCTAAATGGGTGAATGGTCAAAAGGTACAAACTCCAGTTATATGTCTTGGGGATGTAATGTACAACAGAGTGACTATAGTTAAAAAATAATTCCATATTTGAAAGTTGAGAGTAAATCTTAAAGTTCTCATCACAAGAAAAAATTTTGTAATTGATAGTGATGTTATTAATAAGACTTACTGTGATCATTCTGCAACATATACAAATATAGAATCACTATTGTACAGCTGAAATAATGTTATATGTCAACTATATCTCAATTTGAGAAAGTGAAGAGATAAAGGAGTTCCTGGAAGTTTATAAAAATTTCCCAGAAAGAGGGGCTCCTGGGGGGCTCAGTCAGTTGGGTGGCCGACTTTGGCTCAGGTCATGATCTCACGGTTTGGGAGTTCGAGCCCTGGGTTGGGCTCTGTGCTGACAGCTCAGCCTGGAACCTGCTTCAGATTCTGTTCCCTCTCTCTCTCTGCCCCTCCTCTGCTCACACACTGTCATTCTCTCTCTCTCTCTCTCTCTCTCAAAAATAAACAAACATTTAAAAAAATTATTTAAAGTCAGGCAGAGAAGGCCATATGTTTGCACGTATAGGTGGATTAGGAGGAACTTAACGGAGGACCATGGGGGAGAAGAAGAGGAAAAATAGTTGGGGAGAGGGAGGGAGGCAAACCATGACAGACTCTTGAATACTGAGAACAAACTGAGGGATGATGCGGGTGGGGGAGAAGGTAAGGGGGTTATGGGCATGGAGGAGGGCACTTGTTGGGATAAGAACTGGGTGTTATATGGAAACCCACTTGACAATAAACTATTTAAGAAAAAAATAAAAAAAAAATTTAAAAATTCCCAGAAAGATAAAGAGGAAAGGATTCACAGTAAACATGAGACCTATGATAATAATACCCAACATGGATATTACCTTATCACCTTTTGAAAATTTTAAAATGAACACATAAAAAAGATGTTCAACATCATTAGTCACTGGGGAAATGCAAACCGAAACCACAATGACATACCACTTCACTACCATGAGAATAAGTGCAGGTGACCATGCAGAAAAACTGAAACCCTCATACACTGCTGATGAAAATATAAAATGATAGAATTGTTTTGGAAAATGGTTTTGTAGTTCCTCAAATGTTAAACATACAGTTATATGTGACTCAGCAATGTTACTCTTCTCTCCCAGGAAACCTGAAAATATAGGTCTGCGTAAATTCTGCATGAGTGTTCACAGCATATCTGTAATTTTTAGTACAATTAACCCAAATGCCCGTCAAGTGATGAAGAAATAAACAAAATGTATAATGGTAAATGCACAAGATGGGAGATTATTCAACGATAAAAAAGAATGAGGTACGCACTATAATATGATGAACCTTAAAATATTGCGCTAAGTGAAATAATCCAGACACAGAAAACCAGATATGGTATGATTCCAATTACATGAAATGTCTAGGACAGACAAATCTAGAGTAACAGAAAAGTAGATCAGTGGTTGCCTATGACTGGAGAGGAGGGAGGAAGTGGACAAAGACTGCTGATGAATACAGGAGTTCTTTTTGGAGTTATAAAAATGTTCTAAAATTCATTGTGGGGATGGCTGCACAACTCTAAATATAATCTAACTGTACTTTTGAAAAAAATTGCATTGTATCCTCTAAAAGAGTTAATTTAATGCTATGTGAATTATATCTCAATAAAGCTGTTACAAAGAGATTAAAAGCCAAGAGATCCTTTATTTTCGTATTCTTACTGAAAACCTTTAATTCCTTAAATTTTTAAGTGAGCTCAATTTTAAATTGAGCTTAATTCTAACTGTGATGTTAACTTTAAGTACATCTTAAACCAAATCACAACTTTAAACAAATACCTGTTTGCACAGCAGTGTCCTTTTTGGGAGAGACTGTAGAATTGATACATGTATTCATTTTATCACTGATGTCATCCATGATGTCGTCCAAGCCATGTCCTAAATTTGAAATGTTGTTAGTAGACTCATTATAATTCAGTTGTACCAACTGGCAAGGAAAATATATTATCCAACATAATGACAGTTCAGAAATATTAACAGAAATTATGTGTAGCAGCAACTGAATACACAGAAGACATTTAGTGTAATCAAAAGTGTGAACACTGCAATACAAACTTAAAAGGGCTCTCTAAAGTTTCTTACGTGCATTTTTATCTGTTACTGAATTTTAGGGAGATCACTTCATAGATTTTTCCCAAAAACTGGGTAAAAAAGTGAACATTTTACCTACTGTGAGTAAAACATAGGAAAATTTAAGTAAAAGATTACCGGAAAGTGTAACATTATTTAGTTATACTCTTAAGGCGATTTCTCAAATAAAATAAGCATTATAGTGTTCCATTAGTTCAAGATCTGAAATTCCTTAAAAAATATTTAATTAATAAGGTGCGTTAAAGGCATTAAAAATTGGAAATTGTTTAAAAATAATCTTCAAGGAGAGAGGGCAAGATGGCGGAGAAGTAAGGAGCTCCGTACTTGCACTCGCGCCCATACATCACACAGAAAAGATCTGAAGACATTGGAAACCTTACAAAACCTGAGAGATTGGGAGAAAAAAGACGCAGAATCCACTGAGAGAGCCTTCTAACCAGACTCCGGCTCAGAACACCCGGCAGGCAAGCCCCCGCCCATGCGCGCCAGCCCGACCCAGAGAAGGAAGCAGCGATTCTGACTCCGCCCCCAGAGCTCGGCAGGGGGCCTGGAATTGCCCGAGGGGGTCGGCTGGGA